TTAATTCTCAAGGAAAGGGATGTATACTTGAAGTTGATTTAGATTATCCCGATAGTCTACATGACAAACACAACGATTTACCATTTTGTTCAGAGAATAAACGAGTTGGAACTACCAATAAATTAATCAATGATTTTAGTCCAAAGAGAAATTATGTGATTCATTATAAAAACCTTTTGCAAGCTATTCAGCAGGGTTTGGTGTTAAAGAAAATTCATCGTGTAGTTACTTTCAAAGAAAGCGATTGGCTTGCCTCTTATATAGAACTAAATACCAACTTGAGAAAGAAAGCAAAGAACGAATTTGAGAAAGACTTTTTCAAGCTAATGAACAATTCTGTATTTGGTAAAACTATGGAGAATGTTAGACATAGAGTGGATGTTAAAGTAGTGACAGATATGGATAAAGTTATGAAACTGGCTGGTAGCAATAATTTCAAACAGAGACATATTGTGAACAACAATTTGATTTTAGTGGAAATGACTCAGAAAAGTATTAAATTAGACAAGCCTATTTATGTTGGGATGTCTATTCTTGATTTAAGTAAGTATCTCATGTACGAGTTTCACTACGATGTTATGCTTCCAAAATATTCTTCGAATTTGAGATTGTGTTATCAAGATACTGATTCTTATATCTATGAAATTAAAACTGATGATGTTTATGAAGATATGCAGTCTATGAAGGAACATTTTGATTTCTCGGATTATCCTACAGACAATAAGCTGTATAGTATTGAGAACAAAAAAGTTATTGGTAAATTCAAAGATGAGTTGAATGGCAAAATAATGACTGAGATCGTTGCCTTCAGACCTAAGCAATATGCTTTCAAAATTGATGATGGATCTGAGCAAAAGAAGAATAAAGGAATAAAAAAGTCTGTAGTCAAAAAGGAAATGACTTTCAATGATTATAAAAATTGTTTAGAAAATAGAACGATTGAAAGAAAACAGCAAACGCTTATTTCCTCCAGCAAACATGAAATTAGTAGTGTAAGACAAAATAAAGTTGTCTTAAATAATATAATTGGTAAGGATAAGGAGACTAAAAGATATTTTGTAGATAACATAAACTCCCTAGCTTTTGGACACTATCGAATCAAAAATTAGTTGTGAATCCTACTCAATATTTCACTTATCGATTCAACTGAAGAACGATCATCTGTTTCCGATTCGTATTCTGATGGAGAATCAGCATATATTTTTTCTTCACTTGAAGTTGAAGCTTCTTCTTCTGGAATCGAAAACTTCACATTAGGTCTTATGAAATTCATCCGACTATCAAATGGTTTTTCGCGTTCTACTAATGTCTTCCGTTCTATTGGAATCGAAGATTTATCATCAGGTCTTTGAAGAAGATCTTTTAGTTTTATTTTAAGATTAAGTGATTTGAAGCCTGCTAGAAATACTTTCCATTTTGCAAATTCCTCTTCACTAAACCCAGTAGTGTCGATGGCCTCAGGATTACAGAAAAAGTTAGCTGCGATTTCTTTATCAATTCCCGATGTTTTGTTTAAAACAATATCAGAATTATAGTTTAATTTTATGTCAGATTTTCTTAAATAAGAAATCTGTTCATTTTTACTACCAGGTGCTGTTGTATCATATATTAACACACATTTATCGAAATTATTATTATCGGCATACTTGGATACAAATGGATCTATGTTTTTATCTACCTCAGATAAGAAAATCCAAACTCTACACGATCCTCTAGTATCAGCATCAAGATATGTTGTTCTATGAACCAAAAACATATTCCACATATTAAAATGTCTACTGATATCCCCAAATCCTTTCATCTTATTTTTTAAGAATTTAGAAACATCATCATATAAAATTAATACTTTAGGAAGGGGTTTGCCGTCTAGCTTACTCTTTTTTACGTTTTCTTCGCCCCATGTTTTGAAATTGTTTATCATCTCATCCACTGGATATTTATCATCAATTACTATGCGATGGTTTTTGAAAACTATATTACATGAATCATTTTCTTCTGTTTCCGTTTTTGTAGCACAGATTAAAAAGATATAGTCAAAACCCCTTCCAGCTAAAAATTCTTGATAAATAACATGTCTAACAAAGGATGATTTACCACTTCCTGTGTTTCCTAAGACAATTATATTGCGCGGAGATTCAAATAACTGAGATTGATTGAAGTTCATTTATTACATAATTTTTCAACATAAAATGTTATTTTGAAAACTTTTAAATCAAATTTATTATGACATTCTTGAAATCATATTTTTCCAACAGTTTCAATAAAAGTAGGCAATAATAGCCACAATGATGAGTATCAAAGTTTTGAATTTGAAAGGTGGAAAGTGTGATTTGGGAATCTTGGCTGTTTTGTTTCAAATATCTGACTAATTCGTCGGGAGGGTCCAGACCAAAAGAGTCGAAATAATATAGATTGTGCATATCCTTCTTATAACAAACCCAATGAGTTCCCTTGCCTTCCTTATTATCAAGATTTACGATGGCAACTTCATTTTTTTGCGGTTCATCAGGAAGACTATCGCGCATATATAGCCCTCTAAAATTTTTAATATGTAAATCCTTTGTTAATTTTAAGATATCTACATCTGTTAATGGTCTCAATTTTTTCCTGAACTCTGAGAGCATTTACATTGAGCAGTTATTGTGTCTTGTGAACTCTGCCCATTTTGTAGTTTGTGCTCTTGGAAACAGTGATAACGAGGCATGTCTAGGCACCGCAAAAAAATTTTCATAATAGACTTTTCACAGTTTTTATTGTTGGATTGTCTTCTCCCATCTTATAGAAGTCTGTTCCCAAAATTTCAGCGAAAAATCTTTATTCAATCCCGAGTTACAGACCCTTTTGTACCAGACCTCCATGTACTGACTTTCTCCCCTTTTTTTTGCGGTGCCTAGGCATGTCTTATATTGAATATGGTGTGCATACTGATAAGGGCGTGTGGCTCAGGTGGTAAGAGAATTTGCCATGACCCTGTTCCATTCGAGTTCGGTTCTCGTTTTTGACCACTTCTTGTGTTCGAGGCAGTCCGCTGCCCTGCTTCACACTTCCGTGAAAGCGGGTGGATCCCTCCAAAGGCAGTTCACTGCCCAGCTCCACATTTCCGTGGTAGCGGGTGAATCCCTTTAACACCAATAAGGCAGTTCATTGCTCAGCTCCACATTTCCGTGGTAGCAGGTGAACCCCTTTACGTCACTAACTATGAACCGAACAAGATTTGGACACGCCCCCTAATTTCTCTTGTTTAAAAATCTTCTTCAAAAAACTTCTCTAAAAATAAAAAAAGCCGGCTCAAAAAAAATGCAACTTCTCAGGAACTCTTCCTCTACTCATTGAATGTAAGTTAAGCTGCTCGCGTGCAGACGCCATGTTTGGGGTTCATGGCTAAGGTGTTGTCAAATTCACTCTCTAGTGAAGCGGCTGGCAACACTGAACGTCCCCCAGTTCTGAATAATCGCACAAAGTTAAGATTGTAGGCATGCATACAGTCGCCATGTTTGGGGTTCATGGCTAAGTACCAAGATACTGAACGTCCCCCAGGTGCTAGATATCCACTCAAAGTTAAGCTGCATAAGTGTAGATGCCATGTTTGGGGTTCATGGCTAAGTATCAAGATACTGAACGTCCCCATGTTCTGGATAATCGCCCAAAGTTAAGACAAACTGGGTAAGTGATAAACTCGTGGTAGAGATCCTTAAGGTGCTTAATGTAAGAATGAATCCGTAGTGGAGAGACTTGGGGTATACTGGCGGATAATTCCGTAGTGGAGAGGTGGTATGAGCTGACGGAGAGCCGACGATAATCTGACAGAGCGCTAAAGGAGCGCTGACCATCTGATGGAGGGCCCGAGGAATTTTCGGGAAAATAGGGGGTCATTTTAAAAGGTCGTTTTTGATTGATTAATTGGGTTATCCTTGGAGATTGATATCAAATTTTGACAAAAGTGGTAATAATTAGAGGCGGGCCCAAAAGTGCGCCAGAAAGGACAATTATATACTACTGACGTTAAGTGACTGCGGTAAGATTCTGATTTAGAAGATGAGATTTCGAAATATTTGGGGTTTTAGGCTGACGCAACTGTCTTCGGTCAAATCGCATCAGTGATTTATCCATTCCGTTGTTGCATCAATGATGTTCTCGAGAAAGACTTCCCGAGCGTTCTGGAGTACTGCGAGAGAATCCGTGCTGAGATCTACCCAAATGATTTTACCATCTAAATTAATGTATTTTGCTTTATAATAAACTTTGTACTGCCTGTTTAATCAATGGTTTTCCATCAAAAAATGATTACACAAAAAACTTTGAATTAGATGTCAACTACACTTGTTTATGTGTACGATAAAGACTAAAAATCAAAGTTTTCTAAAAGAAAAATGGAAACTGATAAAAACTGTAAAATGACACATGAGAAGTTTACAAATGTGAAGCTTACAATTAGTTATAGGATGCGTTTATTTTTGGATAATGAGACATTCGGAAATTGAAAAAATCAGAAATTTGGAAAATTAGAAATTGATAAACTTGAAAATTTAGATATTCGGGAATTCGAACATTCAAATCTCTGGAAATTCGGAAATAAGAAAAAAACTCAGGCGTTGAGAAAATTGAAAGTTCGGGATATTAGAAAATTTGAAATTCGCTAAATATTTATGTATATCAAAATCTCGGAATTCTAGATACTGAGTAAATTCAAATTTTTTAAAAACCCAGGTTTGCTGAATTTCAGAATTCGGAAACTTTTTTGAATTAGGATCTCAGAAATTTAGTTTATGAGAAGTTCGGAAATTCAGAAATTCAAAAGTTTCACATATAATTACTTCCAACAGTGAATTCCATTTTTCAATTAAAATTTCAATTTCTCAGTCATCCCAAAAAATCATATCAACCAGTTTTTTTTGAACTATTATTTCAAAACACGGTTTCAAAAAATCTGAACACAACAGTGCCTATCACAAACTCCACTACAAAACACATTCTTCGATAAGAGACGGTTTTATGTATTATTTGATTTCTTCCCTTTTTTTACTCGAATTCTCCAAACTCTAACGTTTGTAACCCTTGATAGTTTTAGATAAAATTTATTAAATCTCCCCTACTTTCTATATTCAAATGAACGAAACCACCATCCAATTTACTTGAATTCAATATCAAAACGTCCCATCTTAATCTAGGTCGCAAAAGTCAGCTACTCGGACACAAACGCACACAACTTTGTCTGCCCGTCTGTAGTCTCTCAAACACACTTGGTCACTGGGTAGACTCTACCCCCTATCCCTGCAAAATGTCAGTATAAATACGGCTGGGTTGTGCGCTCAGAAAGTCTTAATGATTTTTTTGTTGTTTGGGTTTTTTGGTTAAAAACTTTTATTCTTCAAATACAAGTTATCTCGGATTGAAATATTTTTACTTCTCGTCGTTTTTAGCCGAAACGAGACCTACTTAAAATAAAACTTTTCAGAATGGTGTGTTGTTGTCCAGTCACCACCGCATTGGTAGTTGGAGCCATCGCCTTCTTCCTCTACAAAAAATTCTTCACACCACCAACAATCAAACCAAAGCCAGCGGTTTGTTCTCTCATATACATTTCTCAAGTCTTCTAATTGTAAGAAATATTACAGATTCACAAAACTGACTACAAGAAAGATGTCGTCTATCTCTACCAGTTCAAGAGACTCCAAAATTGTCCAAATCTCTCTCCATTCTGCATGAAGTTGGAAGTTCTTTGTAGAGTGAACAAGATTCAGTATGAGATTGTTGAGAGCTCGTTCGCCAGATCCAGGAACGGAACTCTTCCATTTATTGAGCTCAATGGAGAACACATTGCTGACTCTGATTTGATTGAGCTCCGTTTGAGACAACACTTCAAGATTTCAGTAAGATATTTTCTTGTTCTTCAAAGCTCATGAAAAAATTTCAGTCTCTACCAACTGATCAAGAAGCTCAATCCGTAGCTCTTAGTAGAATGGCTGACAATCATCTTTTCTAGTGAGTTCACAATTTTAAATTGACTCCCGAACCATTCTTTTTCAGCATTCTGATCCGCTATAAGTCGTCTGTCGATGCTTTCTATGAGACCATTGTAGGTCTCCTTAACTTGCCAACTGCTCTAACTGCTCTCTTGGTCCCATTGGTCAGAGCTGTTTTCGGATCAAAACTTTATGCTCGTTCAGTTGGAGCTATTGGAGATTTCGAACCAAAAGAGTTGGATGAGCTTCTTCATAGAGATCTCAAAGTTATTCAAGATTCCATTAAAGGAAAATTCCTGTTCGGAGACAAGATCACACCGGTTCGTTTGCTTAAACTGTTTTAATGACATAATCCCAAAGTTTTAGGCTGATGCTACTGTATTTGGGCAACTTGCCTCTGTCTATTATCCATTCCGCACCCACATTTCTGATGTTCTCGAGAAAGATTTCCCAAAAGTTTTGGAGTACTGTGAACGCATCAGAAAAGAAGTCTACCCCAACGACTTCACTATCTAAATTCTCATTTGTCTCCAGGTCTCAGACTTGCCATTAATAAAACATTTGTTCTCTGGTACATGTTTTGATCTCCTGAACTCGGTGATGACATTCAATCGTAAAATCGAATCTAGAGATAAGACAACAGTTGTCAGATAGAGGCGGAAACAAAAAAGATAGAAACGAAAGGAACCTCAGTCTGATTGTCCCTGACTAGAAGTTTCTCCTGGAGTCATGTTCGACGAGGCAAAGGCGTTTGTTTTGTCCCGTCCTCTGACCTTTTTGGCATCGGCTGGAGCAGTTTATGTGGCCTATAAAATCAAGAAGTTCTTCACTCTTCCGTCCATCAAACCGAAGCCAGGAGTAAGTTCATTTTTACTTTAAAACCTGTAATAGAAGGAACCCTAACCTTGTAATAACTTTGAGCCAATTTTTCTCGGTTCCTGTCAAAGAGGCAAGAAAGTTGGCAACTGATAAATTGTTTATCATAAAATCAGACTTGTTTTAGCAGTTGACAAATTTTTGATATCTTGCATACTAGCCAAAATAATTTAGCTCAAACTTGACAGTAAGGGGTCCTTCTAATACTGTTGCGGTAAGTATCTTTGAAATTTTTTCACTAATTCCAGATCCACAAATTCGATTACAAACCTGACACTGTCTATCTCTATCAGTTCCGACGACTCAAAAACTGTCCAAATATGTCACCATTCTGCATGAAAATCGAAATAATTTGTAGAGTTTATGGAATCAACTATGAGGTTAGTTTCCATTTTTAGATTTTTTATACTTCCGGAACATTTTTTAGGTTATTGAAAACGCGAAGCTTCGTTCCAGAAACGGCACACTGCTATTCATTGAGCTCAACGGGGAACATATTTCGGATTCTGACTTGATTGAAATTCGATTGAGACAACATTTCAAGATTCCGGTGAGTGAATTTTAACATTTTGGAAAAGCTTTCTTATATATAAAACGCTAGACGCGTCTGGTGGTCCTAGTGCCCGGCTGTCCGGTTTTGGGTTTTTAAATGAAAGGTTGGCCGCCACCAAAACCGAACCCGCGGTCTTCCGCACAATAGCCGCGCACGCACACAGCTGCGCCATGAGGCGCACACCAGGAGAGGGGAGGGCACAGGTGATTCGCGAACAATCCGTTACGGGACGATAAAAATTTTGAAAAATTTGATTTCATGGATTTTTTCTTTTTTAAAGCACAATTTATGAAGAAACATATTTTTCAT